ACCTCAGACAGAGCAGCTAGAAGTAAAATACGGTTAGAAAGTGACTTAGAGCCGGGCAACCTAACGGTGCCGGAGATTTCTTTGATGGGCTGCAGCACGATCTCCGGCACCGTGGACGGCTTTTCCGCCGTCGCGACCGAGGCCAAAACCTTCAATTGACTTGTCCTCTCGACCGTAAATGTCGATTTTTTATACAGAGCCCACGATTTTTTCGACGAATTAAAACCGAAAGACAACGAACGCGAGCTCGAAACAGAATATCTGTTATTAGCATTGGGGGTCGGGATTTTGGGCGAGTGGAGCTTGTGCGCCATGTTGGTAGCTTGCGCCATTTCTTGCGAGAACAAGTAGGATTCAAGAATCGGAAAATGAAATTTGTTGGGAAGGGAGAGCTTTTTCTTGCTGTTTTTCCTTAAATTTATTGTGGGTTTTTCTGAGGTTTTCAGAATTCAAGAGCTGTGACCAAAGTTCTTGTTGGGATGATGGCGTTGTTAGGTTTGTTTGTACTTTGTAGCAGTCACTGATATGTTCTCACCAACCACATTTGTGTAACAAAGATCAATTTTTTTGGATGGTCAAAATTAGGATTTTGATTTAGAAAATAGTACACATCTGAGAAGGATAGTTTTGATTTGTTTTCATTGTAAAATGGCCTTAAAATTTAGCTTAATTGAGAAAAATCATAACCAGCTCTTCAACTTTTGTTGGTGCTTTGCAAATTGCAGCTCAACTCAAGATGAATTTTTCCACTTGAAATTTAATGATTATAAATTTTTAATGACTATGTATGCTAAAGATCAAATTAACTTTTAATATTTCTCAATAGATGTCCATACGCACTTAATTAAATTTTTTAGGTAGAATACCTTCTCAAAAAAATGATAATTTTTGTATGAAACCATCTAGTAGTTAGATGAATTTTGTGAATAAAAAATTATTAGAATATTCACTTGTGAGTTGTCTCACATCGTTTATATAAGGAAAATAAGCCTAATTTATAAGTTGAATGGGTTACTCCTTCTTCCACCAATTGGTTTTGGGATAGAACCTCACTTAGTATTCATCTGGGCTTTTCCCGCGGTACGCTTCACGTGAGTGGAACCACACTCGTTTTCTCCCGTTTCCTATAGAAACAAATATTTACACATTTTGTTATTGTTATTTACACCTTTTGTTATTGTTTTCCCCCATTTTTTACAGAAACAAATATTTACACATTTTGTTAATGTTTTCCCCCGTTTCTTATAGAAACAAATATTTACACCTTTTGTTATTGTTTTCCTCGTTTCTTACAAAAACAAATATTTACACCTTTTATTATTGTTTTCCCCATTTTTTACAGAAACAAATATTTACACATTTTGTTATTGTTTTCCCCCCGTTTCTTATAGAAACAAATATTTACACCTTTTGTCATTATTTTCCTCATTTCTTACAAAAACAAATATTTACACCTTTTGTTATTGTTGCTGGATCGACTGTGGGGCTTGCTTGAACCTGGGGTTTGTCAAAGGACTATTGCAGGTCATGCTATAACGGGCATAGCGAGACAGCTCGAGGCAGAAGGAACAATACGAGGTATAGTTCTATGCATACTATTATTTATTAAATTATGATACTTTCTCATAAAAAATAATACATGACATAATTATGTTGCCTACCATCGTATCAACTTTATGTCCAAATTTTATTCTATCTAAAATTCCTCTTGAAGTGCAAATTACTTTTACCATAATTGCACTTTTCTCTAGTGAAAGGTGTGCTTATTTGGTCCAAACCTTAAACTTCAATAAAGAAAAACTTCAGAGCACGGCCACCAACCACCACAATATTTGGCAATTTATTATTAATTATTAATTATTATTTGATGAATTATGGATATTGTGTACATCTTATCAACACTTTGACAGAGAATTTGGCTGACCAAGTCGTTACATGCTTTGCCCTAAGGCCCCTAACAATTACAGATGTGTTGATGTTTACCAATTTACATGAATATTGTAATAGTCTAATATAGGATACATGTTGATCCAACCGCAAAACAAAGAAATAGGATGAAACTTATAAATACATGAAAATGCTAAGGTACTGTTACGGAATCATTCCGTCGTGGTTTGTAACCGTTAGATCATCATATAACCGTCAGAAATAGTTGATCTAACGGTTACAAACCCCGGCGGAATG